GGTCGAAAGAGAAATAATTCGTTCAGATAAAAATACACTATGACTTGATATGTTCGATCTTTGCCGTCCTGTAAACGAAAGAAAAAAACAGATACGGCTTAGATAGGCGCCATTAACAGATAAATAGTTATTCACTGCAGTAAGTAATGTATCATTAAGGAAGACACAAAAGGAACAAGTTTTTGGTGGTCAAAATTTCTTCATACAATGAAGTGGCAATGAAGGTTGCGCTTGAAGGGATTATAGAGTGAGAAGTACAGTTGAATACACGATGTGTATAGTGACACATTGTCATTGCGGTATCTGACATTGCACTCCGGAATATCTAGAAACAGGTATCCTCAAATTGTCCGCCTCCTCTCTTCTATTATTTCTTGGCGCGCCCTATGCAGAAATAAGAGTTGCCGTTCAGCTCAGAGAATTTGCATTGCTGTCTGTTTCAACCTAAGTTGAGGACCGTGCTCATAAGGTAGTCACCTAATTTCATTTCATCAAACCCAGATAAAACGCCATCATTAGATTCAGAATGGGTGGAACTTACATTTTTATCTGAGTTTCTTCCTCTCAGACATCCATCTTCATTTAACTCCGAGAAGTTCCTCTGCTGTATTGGGGGCATTATCTTCTTCTCCAGGGGGGTTATCTCCTGCGACAAATTTTTTAAAAAAGTCTGGAACGACAGGTGGTGTACACATTAGTCATATGTATATTATTTATAGTTCATATGTATAGACTGCTTTCTCCATATAAACATCCCAAAAAAAGGTACATTTGATCCAGCGTAAGAACAAAATAAGAAATTTCGAGAGGCTTCGTATTATTTGTTCAAGAAATCTCTACTCCATATAGCTTCCTAGTAGCAACATATAAGTGGCGACAACGAGAAGTGAAACTCAACAGGAGGGAAAAAAGGATCTTCGGAAGTTAAGGCCATGTGAGGTCCTGTCCCCGGCTTCAGGGGCGGGAGAACGTTTTTCGTTCTTCCTGTTATTCCTAGGTGAGCATTTATCAGCCAAAGCGGAATTGGATTCGCTGAGAAAAGCCATAGTAGCTTAATTTAATTCCTGTGGGGCATATAAGTATACATAAAAGAGGGTTATTACGTGCGCGAATATTGTTCTAAATATATAACTGAAGTCGGTTGTGTTATGACGTCATAAACTGCGTCAAAATACCTTGAAATATTTTAAACTACCTTCAAATACGTTGTAGTAGGTTTTAAACTGCTAAAATATGTAGTAAAAAATACTTCTTAAATAAGTTTGACAAATCCAAAATTTTTAACAAAAGCAGAAGCACTTACATAAATAAATTAAGACATTATAGAATATATCTTTAGCCAATATTAAAAAAAAAAAAAAAGAAACGACATCATAGAAAATGTATAAAATTTATTTCTTCGCTCACAGTGCACACTGGTCGAGATATTTATGAGACAAAACAGCGTGTATCTCTTGTTTTTAAGCAAAATGACATGTTCACCAATTATATGAAGGTCCCATCTCGCTTACAATCTATTTCTGCATGCCTTTCTGTCTGCTAAAATCTGCAAAATAGGCCATATAAATGAGTCAGCAGATATTCTTTTGTATATTTGACGCTAGAATCCTCTGAAAAATAACTTCTTTACGAAGGCGGCATATACATTATATTACCATTTATCCTCTTGCTGAGGCTTACATTTGGTACCTATACAAATGGAAGTATTATTTATGCATTGCAATTAAGAAAAAATGAGACCCTTCTTGTATTAGGCATGGTAAACTACCAAAAAAGAGAAGCCATTTTCTTATGTGACCCTCCTTCTGCTCTTGAATGATACTGAGCAGGATGCAGATGACCTTTAATTTAGATCTGGAAGTTTTAAGGGACGGTATTAAATATATGTATTATCCATAGCTGGTACTGCAGAGCAGAACAAGCGACCGTTTCGATGAAACTCTACTATCATGGACAGTCCGCATTTTTACCTTTTGCTTTCTTTTCGGGAAAATCCTATCATGTTTGGCTCGTTTAATCTCAGCCCTCTACAAGCATTAAGGTGAAGTGAAGATTGAAAGCCTTGTCGCAGTGTTTCGGTAATTGAAACTCCCAAGTGTGCAAGAAGGAAGCAGAAACACACGTAGCGCCATGGGGGGTATTTTGTTTACAATGAGGCCCTTGTGACTGAATAGGGAAGTCATGAGAAACCAGTCGGAGGCTTCTTTCTGCCTCACGCGTGTGTTATCACTTCTAGAAATAGACAGCTATGAGCATAAATAATTATTATTGCTGCAGGAAAGTGCGGCATTCAGTGAAATAAGCGACATAATGCGAACTAATGTAGGCCTTAATGATCACCACATCTTTATCTCCAGCGGCGAAGTGTCCGCTGTTGTAGAGAGAAATACCAGGGGGGATTCATTCTCACACATCATGAGAAGAGGGAACTACCACAAGTGCCACAACTAGCACAATCACAACTCCAGAAAAAAAAGAAAAACACTTGTCCGTGTCGTTAAAATAATAATTGGTTCCTAAAATACACAACTTGTTGTTCCGGTTGTGACTTCTCCCATAGAACAAATTATGAAATCTTGTTGTTCATGAAAGCACTTCTGTGTAAATAGGTAGCTAAAACGAAAAGAGTGGAAAACTAAAATGGAGCCCCCCGGGGAACAATTGTTTAGGTAAGGATGACCAAAATTCTACGCAGACAAACAAGAAAAAAAAGAGAAAAAAATCACGAGTCGGGAACTCTTATCGGAAGGCGATCCATTAAAGCGAAAAAGTGCAGCTTATGGTTATAATATATATATAGAAACAGATACAAAAGAGGAAGCTACATGCAAGCCTGTATTTATTTATCTTCCTATTTCTTCATGACAAGAGAATATCGATAATACGATTAAGTCATGGGAAACACTATGCATCCGGGGGTTATTAACCATTTCTGACCAAAAAATGTGGCAGTCCTATGACGTGAGGGGGAAAGTCTCTGTAAATTTCTCCCCCAAAATACTGTAGTGTGCATATAGCGACTTCTCATTGGAGAAATTTTTTTACACACATTGTTCATGAAACGTTCTGTATATTCTTCCATCATTAGGTTTTGCGGCCCATTAATACCCTTGTCTGCCTTGTATTGGTCTCATCCTAGGGATACCATCATTCTGCCGAGTTGGCATCACAAGGAAGCCATCCCTTATTATGGATCGGCTCATTTCGGCACCATTTTGGAGTGGCCTCCTGGCGCGTTCTCTATTTTTGTTTCTATCTTCATTTCTATATTTGTTTTTAATGGACTTCTTAATTCTGTGTAACTTACGTCCAAGGTAAATGATTAAGATAGTGCACGAAACGAGGAAGAACTGGAAAGCCATCGGGGAACCTACGGCCATTATTACTTTTCCATATATAAGCATTGCCAAAAGTGGGGTGAAAAATCTTAATATGGAAGTAGCGGCTTCTAATTTGTTACAGGACGATTTCTCCCTTTGAGAATATTGACTAGTGCTTTTTGCGTGTCGAAGAATGGAGTGAAGTAATGGCTTCTTGACTTGTCTGTCAATGTTTTCAGAAAAATTGTCTATCGAATTGGATGATTCGCTTCTCTCGCCAAAGTCACTCCCTGTCTTTCCGGAGGACTCCTCCCTCTGTCAGACCCCTGGCATTCTACGATTTTGGTAATGTTGTTGTCCTTGAGATGTTTTAGCGCATGGTCCTGTGCACATTCGCTCCTCGTCGCTGTCAGTGTCGCTTGGCTCCCTGATTGTTCTTCTGAAGTTGTCCTTTACACGTCTCTTTGGCTTTTTTGTAAATATCTCTTCGAATTCGTCTCCGTCGTAATAAAATTCAGACTTTTCCCCGTGCTGATAGTAAGCAAATTCCTGCCGGTTTTCATTGTCGCTTGTTCCGGAAGGGTAGTAACTCCTTCTCTGGTAACAGTCTTGGTGTTCATCCTGATAGTCTTCATCCTCATGGTCTTCCTCTTCCTCATCGTCATCATCCTCATTGTCATCATCCTCATCGTCATCATCCTCATTGTCATCATCCTCAT